AGTGAGCACTCCCAGTGCAAAAACCAAGTGCACTAGACTTCCAGCCACTGGCCTGAGCTCTTCCCCCAGCAATGACTCTCCGCCGCTCCCAGCTGTCCTAATTGAAACTCAGAGTGGAATACCAAGGTCTTCTTGAAACAAACAAACAAAATTCAAACTTCTCATCAAGGACGAACTTGAGAAAACAGAAACCATTTGTTCTTGAGCCACAGATTAAGCATAACCTTGCTTCTGACAAAGGACAGAAAATGTAGAGGATTTCTATAATTCAAAGAACAAGACAGCTCAATACAAACTTGAAACATATTTGAACAGGCATTTCCCAAAGGATGATATACAAATATCCAATAAGTACATGAATGAATGCCCAATGCCATTAATATTAGCTAAAAAGGACACGATGGGGGCAACTGATACAATGTGAATATGCAATATGGATTACAAAAATTTTATCAATGTGAAATTTCTTAATTTGACAGTTATACTGTAGTTATATGAGAATATCCTTGTTTTTACAAAATAGATACTGAAATAGGCATATCAGACTCAAAAGGTTGTGAAGAAATGGTGTAGGTCTACTGTGTATTTATATGTTCTCTACATGCTATTCTGTCTGTCTCTCAGCAAGATGATAAAGCAAATGGGGCAAGATGCAAATAATTGCTGAGTCTGGTTAAGAAGTATAGAGGAGTTTCGTTCTCTACTCTTGCAAGTTTTCTTTAAGTTTAAAATTATACAAAAATAAATTACAAAACATCAAACACACTAAAAAGTACTGAAGTTCTCAAGAACCAATGGAGTCTTGTCAACAGGACAAAACAGTGGCATGAAGAAGCTACCACTGGCCAAAGTCGTGTCTGTCTGTGTGTCATAAAGGAAAGTGATTGGAGTGGATTGAAACGCCTTGACTCAGTGAACATCCATGGGTCCATGGTGACTATACAAAAAAGATTCAGAACAAAGGGACTTGTCGGCTTTGAAGCATCTGCTAAACTAACACCTCGCTTATAAAATTGGTCATTCAAGGGAAAGAATGAAAGGTTTTATTCTGTTTTTCTAGGAGGAGCTGCATTTCATGGGAACCAAAGAAATCCATGATTTACAGCCTAATAAATTCAGAAGGAACAGTGGAGTTGGAAAAACACCATCTTGTAAACCATACTTGTCGTGGGCTGAATCATGACCCCAAAATTATCAGGCCCTGATCATTTTCTGGGGTTAACTGCTAACAGTGGATCAAACAGATGGGCTATGCCTTAGGCTGTAATGAAGGAGGAAGTCTGTAGCACCACAAATGTGAATTCCAGCTAAGAACATTACCGTGAATCCACCAAACCTTTAGCTCTAGCTTCTTTGGCAGTAAGAAGTGCCCAGAGCTTGAAGAACAAGAGAGCCCAGATAAGCCCAGAAGGTGAGATATTCTGCCAGGCAGCCCGCCCAGTCCCTTCAAAGCCAGCAACATGAAAGGGACTGCACCGAATGAAAAGAATGGGGTGCAGGGATTTCCACGAAGCCACCAGCCTCCAGCTTCAGACTCCGCACAGGCACAGGCCCCTTCCAAGGTCCAGACAGGGTGTCCACCCGGTCCTGTGTTTCATCTGTTTTGCAGAAGTGAAGCATTTTAACCATAATCGTGCCTCTGCCACTTTCCCCTTTAATTTCAATCAGACATGTGTCCCCTCAGGTGGAAGGGCATTGAAGTGGCCACAGGCACCTTTCGAATCTGTTTCAGGGGGCACTGATTAAATCGAATCAAGGGTAGATGTGGGTGTCTGGGTTCTGGAGAGTATTTGTATATGCCACTGGTTTGCAGTAATTTTCATATGTAGTACAGTTGCCGCCACCTGTCCTGGAGTAGTATCACTTCCAGAAATACTTCTAACACCCATTTTGCTACTTACCTAGAATGGAGACACGTAAGTGCAGGGTCAGAGGTCAAATCCCAGGATGACCCTGTCCTCCAGCTCCAGCAACATTGCATGTGGGAGTGTAGAAGAAACTAGGTTCGAAGTGCACCGAGTCAGAAGCTGGCCTATGGAGATTATTTCAATCATCCGACATGGAAAACTGTAACAGTACACTGATGGCTGCTTCTAACCAGAATATCTCCTGTCAGGGGCATGATGATACATCATATACTTTTTTTTTTTTTCTTTTTTGAGACTGGGTCTCAACTCTGTTGCTCAGGCTGGGTTGCAGTGGTGTGATCACGGCTCACTGCAGCCTCAACCCCCTGTGCTCAAGTGATCATCCTGCCTCAGCCTCCTGAGTAGCCGGGAAGCCAGGCTAATCTTTGTACTTTTTGTAGCGATGGGGTCTTGTTATGCTGCCCAGCTGGTCTTGAACTCCTGGTGCTCAAGTAATCCTCCACTCAGCCTTCCAAAGTGCTAGGATTACAGAAGTAAACCACCGTGACTAGCCCATCATATCATATCGTCATATATATACGTGTGTGTGTATATATACACGTATATATATGTGTGTATGTATATATGTGTGTGTGTATATATACGTATATATGTATGTGTATATATGTGTATATATATGTGTGTGTGTATATATGTATATATATTTTTTTGAGATTGAGTCTTGCCCTGTCACCCAGGCTAGAGTGCAATGGCGCGATCTCAGATCACTGCAACCTCTACCTCCCGGATTCAAGCGAGTCTCCTGCCTCAGCCTCCTGAGTACTTGGGATTACAGGCACCCACCACCACTCCTGGCTAATTTTTGTACTTTTAGTAGAGACGAGGTTTCACCATGTTGACCAGGCTGGTCTCGAACTCCTAACCTCAAGTGATCCGCCCACCTCAGCCTCCCAAAGTGGTGGGATTACAGATGTGAGCCACAGTGCCCTGCCCCTATCATATCTAATTTTGGATGAGAATCACCTGCAATTGGATTTATCAGCATGCCTGTTTGTCATTCACGATCCTGTAGCAGTTTTGTGCATGGTGTTATGTTTGTATGTGAAAATGAATGTTTTATGCCCCTCAATTATCAGTAATGAAAAAACCACCCTAAAGAAACAGTGTAATTATCTTGCTAATATCCCTATACAAAATATTACAAACTTGTCGTAAAAAGAGGTAATCAAAGGGTATGCTGGAAAAAAAATGCAGGAAAAGACGTATTACAGAGTTGTATTAAGCAGTGAATTAATAACAATATTCTAATAGTTTTCTAGATTTTGTGCTGCTTATCCACTTTTCATTTGTAATTTTATTATAATTTATTTTCCTATTCTAAATAAACATTTGTTTTAACCTAATTTTATATTCATAATGCTGTATGCTCTTTCTTTTTTAGATTTTTTTAAAAATGTATTTCATTAAGCCGGGCATGGTGGCTCACGCCTGTAATCCCAGCACTTTGGGAGGTTGAGGTGGGCGGATCACCTGAGGTCAGGAGTTCGAGACCAGCCTGGCCAACATGGAGAAACCCCGTCTCTACTAAAAATACAAAAATTAGCCAGGTGTGGTGGCTGGCGCCTGTAATCCCAGCTACTCGGGAGGCTAAGGCAGGTGCAACATTTGAACCTGGGACAGGTTGTAGTGAGCCAAGATCACATCATTACACTCCAGCCTGGGCAACAAGAGTAAAACTCCATCTTAAAAAAAAAAAATTTATTTCTTTAGAGATTTTGCCCAGGCTAGACTCAAACTCGTGGGCTCAAACAGTCCTCCAGCTGCAGCGTCTCGTGTAGCTGGGACTACAGGCTAATGCCACCACACCGGGCTTGTGTGCTTTGTCTTAAGGAGGCCCTGTTCCATGAAAGGGCCATGTATGCAAAGTAGTCCCCAAATGCCAAAGGAGCCAAGAAACCAAAGGAGAAGGCAGACAAATCCAGCTTGTCAGTATGGGTTGATGTATTGGGGAACTCACACATGGAAGCGTAGCCCTGGGCAGCCACAGGACAAGTGACTCTCTGCACTGTTACTCCCCAGACCCGGGGCTTATATACCACAGGGAAAGAGCATACACGCTCCAGCAAGACAAAGGCAACCTTCAGGACAGCAAGAATGCCACGTGCACTATGGCCTCTAATTTGTGCGGTAACGTCAGGATTGACACGTTCTCACACTAGAGACAGAAGATAAAGCGGAAACCAGGAGGTGTTCACGGGACTGGGGCCGAGCAGACGTCAACATGGTGGGTTAGCATCCAAGAAGGAGCCATTTTTGTCTCCACATGCCCCCTGTTTAGAGACATAGCCCCCAGATTATGTCTCTAAAGGACATTTTGGAGTGAACTGATAGTGTCTGGGGTGAGCTGTTTCAGGGTGAACTGAAGATGTCAGGGATGAACTGAAAATGTCCTTGACATTTGTTAAACCAACTCGAAAGGACATTTTGGGGTGAACTGATGACACTTGCCGTCTGAGTAACTCAGGGGAGGGGAGGGTGCGTGAAGCAGAGCCATGCAAGATGGGGAGTCGGGCTCCCCTGGGAGGTGCTCGCTTACCTGCCCAGGAAGAAGGGGGCAGCCTGGCGCTGGGGAGAGAAAGGAGAGGCCGAGTCTGAGACAGTCCTCCAGAAATGTGAACGAGGTGCAGGCGGCAGCCTCCAGCACACTAAGAAACCGAAGCGTGTGCAAAACAGGCCAAAGCCTGGCCTGCGGGCGGCCCTTCTCCCCAGCCACCTGCAGGGCCCCCACAGTGGCCTGGGCTCCACACGGAGAGGGGAAGGAGTGAGAGAAAGCCCTGTAGGGCAGCGGGCGATCTCCTACCCGAGCCAGCCATGTACCCAACGCTGCATTTGAGGAGCGTTGCATATGGCAATCCTCGTGTTCTAAGTGCTTCCTACCTCCCTTGTGGGAAATCCGAGCGAGAGGTTTGGGTACAGAATTACTCTCCCAGCTCAGCCAGAAGCCAAACTTCCATTCACCGTCTCCCGCAGAGTTACAGTTTTCTCTATCCAAGGAAAAGACACCACTGAGAAGCCATGGCAAAACCACCTGGTAACCTTCAGTTTACAAAACTCGAAGCAGAGGCTATTTCAAAAGAAAGGATAATAAAGAGGTTTATTTGCTATTGTAAACCAACTTAACACACAGCTGAGAAAGAGAGACTAAAAATCCTCTAATAAAGATTGTTAACTGACAGAAGGATTTTGTTTTTGTTCATTTTTCGAGACAGGGTCTCGCTCTGTCACCCGGGCTGGAGTGCAGTGGCGAGGGTCTCGGCTCACGGCAACTGCAACTTTCCAGACTCAAGCGATCCTCCTGCCTCAGCCTCCCGAAATGCTGGGACTACATGTACACAGCACCGCGCCCGGCTAATAACAGAAGCATTCTTATGACACAGTCTCCTCTCGGCTCACTTCATCTTAGTCCTGGAGGTCTGACTGTCTAGTTTCTTCTTCTTCAGAATTAATGTTTCCTGAAAAGAAAAGAGAAACATGAGTATATCACTATTTACTTTGTTCTATTTTTTAAAGTCTTTATTCACTAACAGATCTTTTGCCAAAAAAAAATTATTATAACTATTAAGCATTCATCAGTCAAAAATGGAATGTTAAATTTTATCTCATATGCATTTCAACAGTTTTTTCTTTTGGTACTAGAAATAAAATAAGTAAAATACATACTCAAAGTGAATGCTAAGACAAGACTATCCTCAGTAACATCAGTAATCCTCTTACGCCTGCACACCTGTCCAAAACAGCCAGCTTTGTGGATAAAACATGTAATTGCTTGGCTGTTAATTAAAAGAAAAGCAGGCTGGGCACAGCGGCTCACGCCTGTAATCCCAGCACTTTGGGAGGCCAAGATAGGCGGATCACTTGAGGTCAGGAGTTCAAGACCAGCTCGGCCAACATGGTGAAACCCTGTCTCTACTAAAAATACAAAAATTAGCTGGGCGTGGTGGCACATGCCTGTAAACCCAGCTACTTGGGAGGCTGAGGCAAGAGAATCACTTGAACCTGGTGGCAGAAGTTTCAGTGAGCTGAGATCGCGCCATTGCACTCCAGCCTGGGCGACAGAGCAAGACACCATCTCAAAAAAAAAGCAGAAATTTGCCACATTCTTATAAGATGCTACATTTAAGTGTTTTATGAAAGGTGGAGTTATTTTTTGTTACTAATTAAACTCTATAACTTTCACTGTTGGGTATATTAAAGAAGAAATTGGTAGGGTAAGTCTCCAATGTAATGTGGGATTCATGATGAGTACATGTTGAACTTGGATTATTTTGATAAATGTTCTGCCAACTAAGCCTATTTTGTATTACTCCCTTTTCACTTAGGGCCCTCCTGACACTGTGGCCTGGGTGACCCTTTGCTGGGGGCTGTCCTGTGCCCTGAAGGGTATTCAGCACCGTCCCCGGCCTCCACCCACACAGATGCCAGCAGCATCTCCCTCACCATCCTCCCAAGTCTCCAGACATTGCAAATGTCCCCTGGAGCCCCCAAAACCACTGAGTTAAGGGGTGTTCCCTCTGCCCAAGGCTGGTGCATGAACCCACAGTCTCAGACGCCCGCTGGTACTGGGCATCATCCCCTGGGTCCCACCTCTCCCAGTCTGGTTTTCAGGATTCCTCCTGCTCCATGCCCCCCATGATCTCCTCCACCAAAGTTTCTGGGGCCTCCTGCCTTGCCTGGCTCCAGGGTACCCATCCTCATTGCCCCAGAGAAGCTCAGAAAGCAAGCCTGATACAGGCAATCCCTATGGCCCCCAGAGGTCTCGTCCACTGGGCTCAGCATCAGGTTCAAAGGCTATCCGGTTCCAAGGGAAAGGGGCCACCTCCCTACCTCCCACTCTTCTGCTGTCAGACTCTGCTCTCTGCCTGGAATTTCCTTCCTGGTTTCACCCATTCCTTGCCACCTCCCTCCCAGCTAACCCAGAGTATCCTGGTCCTGCCCCAGGTGAGTCATTACCTCTCCTGCGTAGATGGTAACACGTCCCTGTCACTGCAGGGAACTCACTGATTCCTTTATTCCAGCTTCCCATTAGGTATCGAAGGGTGAGAGCCCAGCCCCTCACTTCCACACTGCCTATCAAACCCAGTGTCTCCCCCTCCAGCTGTGCTCCACGTGGCTCAGGACTGACATCTGTGGGCACAGCTGGATGCTGCTCTGACACCGCGCATACTCTAGCCGCACAGCCCTAACAGAATCCTGTGGACCCCCTACCCACCGGGGCTCACTCTGTCCACCCTGTGCAAGTTAGAGAAGCAGAGACCATGCTCACTGGCAAAGCCAGGTTTCCACCTGACCCCACGTTGCGCCTCAGCACCGCCTCACTGAGTGCATCGCTACAGTGCTCAGGGCAATTACCGATCGCGAAAGTCTATGCGTGCTTCAAGCATCTAAGAGAAAACGCTTTATGTGATTTCATTATTTCAGGTATTATTTTCAAAGGAATGGGAAGTATATTCTCAATTTGCAACAGAGACAACCTAAGTGGAATGGGACTGCAGACCCTGTGCCCGAGGCCACCATGCCCAGGCTGTTCCCAGACGGCCCTTTCCCTCACAACCATGATGCCCTCTTTCAGTCAGATGTGAAAAGTGCGTTAAGGGAAGACAGTCCTCTCTCTGGGCTTTCTGCAAGTGCCCACAAGCACTTGGGGAAAGATTTTTAAAGATTCCAAGAACCTGAAGCTTCAGTCAGTCAGAACTGAGGTCAGATCCCTGCCCTATGAGGTGGCAGAGGCAGAAGTTTCTAGATTAATCTTATATCCAAACCCATTTAAAAAGAGCTAGTTCCCAACACCACTCATCTTAAACCACACTCCGGTGAGGCAGCCCTGCTAAAAATCATGCAAATCCCAGCACTTTGGGAGGCCGAGGTGGGTGTACTGCATGAGGTCAGGAGTTTGAGATCAGTCTGTCCAACACGGTGAAACCCTGTCTCTACTAAAAATACAAAGAAATTGGCCAGGCATGGTGGCATGCACCTGTAATCCCAGCTACTTGGGAGGCTGAGGCAGGGGAATTGCTTGAACCAGGGAGGTGGAGGTTGCAGTGAGCCAAGATCACACCACTGTACTCCAGCCTGGGTGACAGAGCGAGACTCTGTCTCAAAAAAAAGAAAAAAAGAAAAAAGAAAAAAATCATGCAAGAAAAGAATGCCAGGCTTTGCATGTCTGACAGGGCTCTCTGGCCTGGGGGCGGTCCTCCTGTGATAAAGAGCATGGGCACCGCTGCACACCCAGGCCATTCCCACTGCAGCCTAGCTTGCAGGAGGGTGCAAGGGAGTAATATTTTGCGATGGCTCCAGTGAGGGCTCACAGGGGGCCCCCTAAGTCTTCCCCAAGTCCTTGGAGCCCAGCTGAAGGCAGACCTTGGTGGAGGGAAGGGGAATCCCACTGTTCATGGCCCCTGTGGGCAGGCCCTCGCCCCACGTCCCTGCGCAGGGACCTCACCCTCGTCCACGTGATAGCGGAACTCCTCCTGGTCATACTCCCGGCTCTCCTCCCGGAGGACGTCTGCATCTTCATCTCCAGGTCTCATGTCCGTCTCACCCTCAAAGCCCTCCAGCAGAGCCTGGGCCTCCTCCCCAAGTTCTCCTGCACCTGAGATAAAACACAGGTCAGAAGCCTGAGTTCCTGGGAACAATGGAGCCTGCAGACCTGTGCAGGGCAGCTGTCCCTGAGGCTGCCGTGCCCCCACCCTCCCCCTCCCATTGGCAGCACCTTGTGTTCCTCATCTCAACATCCACCCAGCCCAGCCCAGGCTTGGCCCGGGGAGCAACCCAGGCCCCACTGCAGTCAGTGGCTCAGAGATGGGAGCAGGTGGTCTGATAACTTTCATTCCTGAGGGTGTTGATGAGACTATTGAGAAAGAGACGTCCCCTGGGGTTCCTGAGAGTGCCAGCCAGAGGAGCCAGCACAGAGGAGAGCTGGGACAGAGGGCAGAGGCTGCCCGGCCATGCTGTGGGCTGTCCCCGAGCTTCCCAGTCACGTGAGCCGAGACATTCTTAGCAGCATGAGCGTTCTTTCACAGAGCCAATCGGACTTGGCTTTCCTCCGCTTGTCATGGAAGGGATCTCACCCGGTGTAGCCACCTTCAGCTTTCCCCAGCACACTAAGGACTTCCAGGAAGACCACTGGGTTGGACATGGAGGTACCATGCGGACCCTTCTTCAGGGAAGGAATGTCCCCCCAGCTGCTGTCAGTGCCAGCCTGGGGTCATACCCACATTCACTCACTGACCTAGGTGAGGGGATAAAGGTCCCCGGGACGCCACAGTGCTCCCCATGGAATGAAGCAAGGTCGTGGAGGCCACACCTCTGCCTCTGTCCAATCAACCCTGTTTCTTTCCTCTCCCCTCCGCTCCCCGGGAGTGTCCTCCAATCCCAAAGGCTCTCCCTAATAACATCCCGCACACTCAACTGACCCAGCATCTGACTTTCAGAGAGTCCAACTACAGCTGGCCTGAAAACAGGATGTCCACAACTCCCACAGCCTACAGGCACCTCACACCCTCCATCCCACAGTTCAGGGGTGCCCCACACCCTCTGTCCCACAGCCCAAAGGTGCCCCACACCCTCCACCCCACAGCCCAGGGGCGCCCCACACTCTCAGCTCCTGGACCCTCTTGGCCAGGTCCGTCCGTAGAGGTCGGCTCCTTGGGAAGGGCTGGTGTCCACAAGGCCAATTCCGTGATTTTGGTAGCTTTCCATTTTGGAACAACAGTTACTAATTCTTCCTCCTCTTCCTCTTCTCCTCTTTCCTATTTTAAGTGCAAAAATGTACATTTACCAACATTTGTGTCATCTTGGTCTGGAATATTAAAAGTGAGGGAGGAAGGACAGGTTTTGAAAGACAGGTTTTGGCTTGTGTTTCAGCCTTTTTAGGATGTCACTCAGGAATCAGACCAGTTGCCGACTATCCGTGGTATAATCTCAGGGTTGAGAACGGATCTCGAAAGAGCCAGGGTGAGAAATATAAATGTACATATAAAACCATAATCTAAAAAGAAACAGGGTGTGAGCCATGGGCTGCAGCTTGGCAACCCCTACTCTAGAGGGTATACATCCCCTTACCAGGGAAAGAGAACACGGAGGCTCTTCTGTTCCACCACCATCCTAATCCATCCCCACAGCACAGTGGGTGGCCTTTGACAAAGCCCTCAGGTTGCTGCTGCATTATTTCATGGGTGACTTTTCCTAAACAGCAACAGGGCTTTGGGCTTATATCAGTAATTCTCTCTTAGATGTTACTGATGCTCTTTCTACCTTCCTCTCATCATCCTGAAATACTGACTTCTAGGAACTTTTTCCAGTAGAGTCTAAAGCTGCAACGCACTTAATAAGATGGGCTTTATTTTTATCACTGCACAAATTTAAAAACTTTCTCAATCACCGGTAAACCTAAACAGTTATTACCAGTGCTGACAATATATCCATTTAACCAATAGGTTCCTTCAGGGAACAGGTGAGAGGTGTCCAACCCCATGGAAATCCCAGCAAAAGACTAAATACATCCCTGTCACAATCGAATCCTAAAGCTGACTGTCTTTCTTAAGCTTCTGACTCTGTGTGTAAGAGGTTACACACACACACACGTAAATGGAGTGGAACCTCGGGGGAGGACAGTATGTCAAATTCCTCTATGTTTTGTAAGATGCAGATGACTTATAGGAAGCTGCCGTCCACCCAGACCAGAGCACCCTGCGGTGCATGAAGAATCCACGCTCAGAGGAGGTAGGGCCTCATACTTAGCAACAAAATCAAGCATTTTGGCCATTTCATTTTCTGATTTGCTAGGGACCTGCCCCTAGCCAGTGGTTCCTTTTAGCTGGAGCAAAGCAGGAGAAGCAGCAGCAAAGAAGACAGGGCACTGTGAGGCCACACAGGATTCTGGTCACAGCCAAGAAGGTGGACCGTGAGCAACCACGGGCTGTTTTGGGAAACTAAATAACCGTGGCCAGAGTGATGTGCAGAAAGCAGAACATCGCAGGAGCAGGAATCAGGAAAAGAGGGTGGCTGAGGTCAGGGCCGAGAGTGCCCTGGGGATATCCAGACTCTGGCCACTCAGGAGGCAGCAACCGAGCATGGACAGTCACTCAATCATGGGAGGTTACGGGATAAAGATTCAAAGACTCCCTTCGGTTTTAGAATCTAACAGACTCTAGGAAGAAAAACGAGAAAAGTTTATAAAACTGTCTGGAGGGCTGGGCACGGTGGCTCACGCCTGTAATCCCACCACTTTCGGAGGCTGAGGCAGGCGGATCATCTGAGGTCGACAGTTTGAGACCAGCCTGACCAGTACGGAGAAACCCCGTCTCTACTAAAAATACAAAATTAGCTGGGCGTGGTGGCACATGCCTGTAATCCCAGCTACTCAGCGCGGGGGTGGGGGGCCAAGGCAGGAGAATCGCTTGAACCCGGGAGGTGGAGTTTGCGGTGAGCCGAGATCGCGCCATTGCACTCTAGCCTGGGAAACAAGAGCGAAACTCCATGTAAAAAAAAAAAACTGTGGAGAGCACTGAATTGAAAAACTGGTGATGAGTTTAGACTTAGGATTCCAGGCCAGGGCCCTTGGGGTGAAAGGATGGAGCACTAGGTAGAGACAGCAGTGGGCGGCACACAGCAGGTGCAGGACAGACCCTCGTGCACAGGATCTCCCGCAGCCTTCCAAGCTCTCCGCAGTGTGACGTCTACCTCCTGTGACCAAGGGGGGCCTTCCCCAGCCTCACAGCCAACCCCAAGGTGACGAGGAGTCGGTTTAAAGCAGGGCCTCTGGGTGATGCCAAGGGGTTGAAGAGGGACACAGCAACGAGAAAACAAAACGAGATGACTCGGCTCAGGTTGCAGCACAGTTCGGGTGTCTGTCCCCTTCAATTCCCATGTTGAAATGTGACCCCCAGGGTTGGAGGTGGGGCCTGGTGGGAGGTGCTTGAGTCAAGGGGGCGGATCCCTCATGAATGGTTTGGTGCCCTCCCTGTGGTGATGAGTGAGTTCTTGCTCTATTAGTTCACATGAGAACTGGTTGTTAAAAAAAAAAAAAATTCCCAGCACCTCCTCCCCTCTCTTTTCCTCCTCTTTTGAGCTGTGGTGCCAGCTCCCCTTCACCTTCCATCATGAGCGGGAGCTTCCTGAGACCTCCCCAGAGGCCAGGCGGTTGCTGGCGCCATGCTTCTTGTACGGCCTGCAGAACCGTAAACCAAATAAACCTCTCTTCTTTATAATCTACCTAGCTTCAGGAATTCCTTTATAGCAGCACCAAAAGGACTAACCCAGGTTGAAAGGGCACTGATGTGATGGTGGGCCCCAGTAATCCGTTCCCCGGCTTTCTTCAGAAAGGAAGTATGCAAATATGGGAGACTTTGTGTACAATAATATATTCTTAACTCACTAGGAAGGGACGCCTCGAAAACTTCAGAGACCAAAAAGCAAACAAAAGCATGATTCCACACGTGTGTCTGCCAGGTTCACACTCCTTAAAACTCAAAACTTCTTACCATGAGAATGACCTCAGCTAAAGAAAATAAGTCAAAAGGATCAAAACCAGCACCAGGGTCAGGAAAGGTTACTGAATTGCTAATTATCTACAGGGATTGGTCAGACATTAATAATGAGAGGAACAGGAACACAGATATTCCCACCTCAACACACATACACATATCTTGATGCCTTATAATGGCAATATTAGCTGACTAGCTTTACTATCGACCAGGGAATGCCAATGTAGTGTTTTTTTGTTTTTTTGTTTTTGAGACGGAGTCTCGCTCTGTCGCCTAGGCTGGAGTGCAGTGGCGCGATCTTGACTCACTGCAAGCTCCGCCTCTCCGGTTCACGCCATTCTCCTGCCTCAGCCTCCCAAGTAGCTGGGACTACAGACGCCCGCCACCTCACCCGGCTAGTTTTTTGTATTTTTTTTTTTAGTAGAGACGGGGTTTCACTGTGTTAGCCAGGATGGTCTTGATCTCCTGACCTCATGATCCACCCGTCTTGGCCTCCCAAAGTGCTGGGATTACAGGCTTGAGCCACCGCACCCGGCCTAATGTAGTATTAATATTAATGTTAGATATTGGAAAGGAAAAAAAGAGAGAAAGAGTTACCAATGGCACGTTCAGAGGAGCGTGCCGCACACCGGACAAGCTAACAGCCATTGGACAAACTGTGGCAACACCAGTTACAGATTCAGTTGTCACTTCTGGGACCTAATGCTATTTAGAACCCTCCCACTCAGGGTTAGTTTATTTGTTGTTTGTTGTTTGTTTTTGAGACAGAGTCTCACTCTGTCACCCAGGCTGGAATGCAGTGGTGTGATCTCGACTCACTGCAAACTCCGCCGCCCAGGTTCAAGCGATTCTCCTGCCTCAGCTTCCTGAGTAGCTGGGATTACAGGCATGCACCACTATGCCTAGCTAATTTTTGTATTTTTAATGGAGACAGGGTTTCATCATGTTGGCCAGTCTGGTCTCGAACTCCTGACCTCAAGCAATCCACCCACTTCGGCCTCCCACAGTGCTGGGATTACAGGCGTGAGCCATTGTGCCCAGCCAGGATTCGTTTCTATTGACAAAAACGGTATCTATCAACAAAGTCTAGAGTTCTGCAATAACTGGGAAATGATATTGTTTGCTTCTGGCAATTTAGTTCTGTACTAACACATGCAACCAAGGAAAATGAAAATGGGAAAGTTCCTAAGAGTTGGCAGAACTTTTAGGCAAATCACCTCCAACCTTGTAGGATCAATAGTTTTGAGCAGCTACTTGCCTGTTAATGTAAAAACCCCATACATGCTTTGCAACTTACCATATCTGTTAAACGATATTCACCATGTTGTTCACACCCAACATCAAATATATACTTTCCAGGGCCAACAGGCTGCGAGCAAAGAGAAACTATTCTTAAATGTCAACACCCAGCAGAAAATACAAAATAAAAATGTCACCACCACAATACCCACCTCAAATCACAAAATTGGGTAAAGTCTAACATGGATTAAAGAATGCTTTTATTAACGCATGGCTAATGGAATTGGGAAGTATGTGCCCTGTTTTGTTTACTTTTGAAAACTTTAACCACATTTTACTTTTTTATAAAAGTGCTGTATTCATTTTCAGAAAACCTCAGTGAGTCAGCATCCACAGGCAAACTAGCTAGAGATGGAACTACTACTAATATGTTGATGCATTCTTTGTAACTTTGCTTCTAGTGTACATTGTTAAATAAAAATCTGATCATAATTGTACATACTAACTCACACTCTATTTTTACTGAGAAATAGGGCATGAACTACTTCTCATATTTACAAATATTCTTTCCTAACACCAGTTGCCACCTGGTATTTTATTTCATCTATGGATTGTAACCTATTTTACTCAGTTACCATTGTTGGTATTTGGGATACTGATTTTTTTTTTTTTTTTTTAACAAAGAACGCTCCGGTAAACATACTCTGAGTTACAACTTTATGTACGCTTTTGATACCGTTCTTAAATTCTCAGAATTTCTGGACAAAAGCATACATGTATTTTGATTAGATGAGGCTCTGATCACTTCATTCCCACAACTGCACTTAAGAGTCCCAGATCCTCAAACTCTTGATTTTAGGAGTGTAAAAATTTTCTATTTTTACATGTTTTTTTATATAAAACAATGGGGTCTCACAATTTTAATTCACTTCATTTCAGTTGTTAGTAAGCCTGCATTTTTTTCAAGATTTTTAGCCATTTAAATCACATTGATTGATAAAACACTTTATATATTAAACGTTGCAAATATTCTCTTCCATTTGACAGTCATCTCTCAGATTTTCTTTACAGCATTTTCTAATCTATAAGAAGTTATTTTTATGAAGCTAAACTTACTGGTTTTTCCTTTCTATTTCTGTTTAGAAAGTTCTCTTTCCTCATTTCAACGTTAATATTCATCGACATTTTTTTCTATATTTCCTAGGGTACACTTAAGTCTTTACTTCTTCTGGAAAGTATCTTCATCTGTGTGAAGGCAAAACTATTATTTTCCTCCCAAATAATTATCAAGAGTTCCTAACACTATGTCTTGACTCCTCCCATCATCCCTTTATTAATTTGACATCCTTATTGTGTGTGAAATTATTTTATGTACTGGAACCTGTCTCTAGACTTTCTAATTTGCTTCATCGGGGTGTGTGTGTGTGTGTGTGTGTGTGTGTGTGCATCCTGGTATCACACTGTTTTCATTATTGGAGCTTTGTAGTACTGATAACTTGTCCACAAGGACATGTACAGGGGATTTTCTGAGGAAGACACACAAACCAGCAATAAACGGGTGACAAGATGTTTGACCTCACTAGTAATCGGGGAAGTACACATTAAAACAATGAGATGACATTTTTTACCCTTAAGATTGGAAAAAAACAAAAACAACATTAAAGACTGAGAATATCCAATGTTGATGAGAATATATGCCACAGAGACTCATATTCTATTGGCAAGAGTATTAACTGACACCAGTTTTTAGGAAAACGGGCACTACCGATTGTGATTTTAAATGCCAATCCTCAAAGGTTTCACAATTCCATTATCTAACCTACATAATAGTCTCAAATGTGCAAAATGACAAAGATGTATCTTTATGTATATTTTTGTATCCCGATACAGTAGGATCCTAATTATGTAATTAAAACCCCCAAACAATAATTATGTGTCAGATGACTGTATTAGAATGTACTTACATGACACACAGAAATAGCACGGAAGGATTGGGCCCAGGGCAGTGGGGCAGGATCCTCGTGTTTAAATGCTTTACAATTGAAATGTACCTGTGTATTATTTGTATAATTTAAAGTTTTTTACTAACTAGCAAAGCAAAGCCTCCATTTTAACCCTGGTTTTTCAGACTGGTTTAGGCTGGACAAGCTGATTGATTCTTCCAGATTCATTTTCATCAAATTCCCTTCCTCTGCAACCACCTTCCCATCTCCTCCAAAAAGACCCATAAAAATTTGCTGGGAATTATATAAACAATGTGTGGGTTTGAGGGGAATGTGCTGTTTTAATGAAGACTAAAAGTAAAATCTGTGGTTAGGGCATGAATTATATATAAATGAAAACTGGGTTCTAAGAGTCTGAAGAGACTTCATTAAATCAGCTAAACATTCCCTCTGTCAACTTCTAACACCACCAATTTGCTCGCAAATTCTCTCTTCAGGGAAAGTTTCTGCTCAACCCCTGATCAGAGCTGCCACAATGGCCTGAGTATTAGCTTCTGAATTATTCAAGGTTTCTCTGTACAAGAAGGGCAAGAGGAACCACCAAGTCTTCTGAGCAGAAACGGCCCACCGTGGGTGCTGGAAGCTGGCAAGCCTCCAGACCCAGGGCCAGGCCCTCGGCAGCCTCAATTCCCACCACGACTAGGAGCATGCAGGCTGGCCTGCAGCACGAGGAGGGAGCTGGGGGTCTTCCTCCCCAGGGATGGCGCACCACCCCTTCCAGAGAAACAAAACACAAACCCCCCCATGCTCAATTGCAGGAAACAGATATTTGGTATCTGATTTACCGATGAGAAGGAATACACTCAAGAGGTTCCGATGCCCCCACGTGTTCTATAACAATGCAACAGGTCCCCGCTGAAAGACAGTGGGAGTTTGTACTGAGACCCAGAGAAATGGGCCAAACCCTCCTTCCCCCCAGTTCTGTCCTCTGTGGGTACCAGAGGCTCAGAGAATGGCACAGCTGTCTTGTTCCCCACATTTGAATAGGCTGGACTCAGTTTTCTCTGAGTTTTTAGTATTCTCCGGTCACACATTTGCACAGGCTGCCAGAGGGGGTTATTTTGTACTTTATGGGCAAATGTCACTTCCCATGGACTTACATTTTTGTTCAAGAACTTGCCCTGGTACCTGTGGTTCAGGTGAATGAGCTCGGCCGCGCCCTCCTGCTGTCCGTTCACCCAGGTGCCAACATACTTACTGCCCGTCTCCGCGTATACATAGGTGCCTTGCCCGTGCCTGGTTAAGACAAGGGGAACATGGTATTTTGTTCCAGCACAGTGAAAAATCTCCCAGGTTTAAAACACAGACATTGACATTGAGGGGGGCCCAGGCTGATGCAGGCTCAAGAGCGATGTAGCTTCTGTATCTGTGTCTAGTCAGAAGGTGCCCCCTGTTCAGTGTGCCCCAAGCACAGGACATTGCCAGAGGCACAGAGGACAGGCCGGCTGGACAGAGGCAAGCCTCTGTGTGTCGGCCGCTTTCCCCAGGGAAGAGGCACAGCTAGTGGGAGCTGCGGCTCAGGTTCCCCAGTGGCTCTTCTGGTTCAGGTTCCCCTAGGGCTCTTGAGTGAAAGACTCATGTGCTCAGCCCCAACTGAGGTACAGATATCAGTTACTTGAGTCTACACCTGCACAGAAAGGCATCCTTGCCTCAAAGCCATAGGAAGATTGGACCTGCCTGGCAGAGTTGGTAACTGGGCTTTTGTTACGATTCTGTTCCTTAATAAGTGTAAACAATCTGCAGACATCATGTTCACACTACATAAGCAAATCCCATAAGACTCAAGATAGAAACCGAACCTTTGGTGAGTAAACCACTCTCCGGTGTAGGTGTCATTATTGACGTAGTAGTATACACCGTGGCCGTGCCTCTGGTCGTTTGCCCACTCTCCTGAAAGGAACAACACAAAGGCAAGCCCAGGTGAGAAGAAGGGATCCATGCCCTGTACTATGTCTTCAAACTGTTAACCATGGCAGAGGTGGGTGTGTTGTGAAGCAAATGAAGCTACGTTCAGGGCCCCATGCACACACAGGCCCTTCTGCTCAGGAGACCCCGCAGAAGAGCGACTTTTAACAGCACCGACCAAGGCTGCTGTCTGTTTCCACTCTAATGTCCCTCCACTTCTCTTCCTTTTGTGCCAGATGGCATGGGTGCTGAGCCACGGTGGAGAGTGGGCTAAGGGAGGGCTGAGTCAGGGGATCACGGGGTACAGGTAGAGTGAGGTGTATGGATGTGGGCCATAGTCACGGTGGAGAGTGGGCTAAAGGAGGGCTGAGTCAGGCGTTCACGGGGTACAGGTAGAGTGAGGTGTGTGGATGTGGGCCACAGCCACCTGCATGTACTAACAAGCACAATTCACAGGTTAGTCAGAAGCACCACGAAGACGCAACAAGGAGGGAGACAAACCAGGGTTGTCTGACCCATTGCCAGTGATCCTAACACCACACTTCATTTACCTTGCAAATGTTTAGTGATCCAGCAACAACTCTAGGGCTTGATCGTCTATCCTCAGCCACCTGCCAGCATTTCAGTCTATCTCCCACCCAATCATCTGGCTCCAACGTGCCACCCTAACCCCAGCTGCACAGCAGCTCCATCCGCCGGTGCCATGCCGTGGCTGAGCCATGCCTCTTCCCTCACCTCCTCACCTCCATACAGGCTTCTGCTAAGTCCTTAGAGGCTTGGTAGGAAGTACTGAAATTGGCAAGGATATCATAAAACTCATAACACTACTCCACAATGCAGACAACTGCAAACTACTGTTGTCAACCACAGTATGAATCCCTGCACTAGAAAACTCAAAATGTCCTAAATCTTACAGCTCACATATGAAAGAAAATTAATAGAGGTCTCCCAAAGGAGACATCTCTTAAAAACGTGCATATTACACCAAGTCATTAAGCTAAATGATACGTTTTGAGACTATGAATAATAAAAAGCAAGTGTTGATCAATTTATTGATCAAAGAGAAAAGAAGGAATTATATTTGTGTTCTCTCTATAGAAAACATTACAAAATGGTTGCCATATGGAGAAGCATTCAAAGAGTATTAGCTAACAAAAGGTAGAGAAGAGCTATTCTAGAAGTATGTCAGACATTAAAACTCAGGCTACTTAGATTCTGTGATGTTTGTGGTATTTTTAAATTTTTAACTTATTTTGATTTATCATTACAAATGAAAATTCACTTTTATACCAACTTTATATTTTGTTTTTCTTAAAGAGGGTTCCCAAAATGTATATAAGCTTCTGGCTTACACAAAAACTGGACCTACTTCCACATGAAGATAAAGAATACCCAATAGGCTAAGAAAATGCTAATTATTCAAGCAATATTTGTTTACGTGAATAACCCCAAAATTTACCTACAGAAGGAATTTCTACATATTTATTTCCTCAATCATTCCAGTATTTACTCAGCACCTACAATGTCCTGTGCACTTTGTGAGATGAACAAACAGCTGTACAAAGGACAGTGCATGTCCCCAGGGCGCCAGCACCAGTCTGGGGATGGGAGGTTGGCACCTGAGCAGCAGCCGAGGACAGGGAAGGCAGCACAAAAAGCTACATGGCACAACTTCAAAAAGTGGGTAGTCATTCAGAAAAGAGCAGACTTACCAAAAATTCATAGAGGGAAGGTGGCAACCACTAACAATTAAGGAAGAGGACTAGGCCCCATGATGTGATGTGTGACAGGAACAACATGAACAAGAGAGATGAAGATCTCCAAATTGAGATAATTCGGTAAAAAATACTTCAGGTCCCTGAACCTAAAGTAACCACGAGGATGTGCAAATACCTAGAGGGATTTGTCTGGACCTTAAGGGGCAGTGATGTGCCTGGATTTGTAGCATTTGCCAGTTTCTGTGGTGTAAATACTCACACTGTGGCCAATTTCAAGCTACACATGGAGCTGGGAAGAGATGCATAGAATGGGTTTTTGTGAGCTATTAGGAAGTGGTTCCAGCACAGCCCTGGGGCACAGAGACCTCAGCTGAAACAGGTACATCATTTGGTTTCTTCCCAACAAAAGATCATGACAACATTATTATATCCCTCCTCTCTTGGCCATGTCAGAGGGTCTCCAGGGTGTCATTGTAAGAAAAATATATTATATATTTTGCAGAAAATTTTCAAAAATAAAAGAGAACAATAATGTTGCAAAAGACACTAAGTTTTGCACCATGAGGACTGTGAGCAAAATTTTTTAAAGTCCCAATCTACTTAAAAAACCTGTTAAGAGGCTCTGCCCAGCATTTTGTAATGCCACCACAGGGACCCTGCACAAAAGGAGAAGGTAATTCAGAGAAAAGTCACCTGCTGAGGCACATCTCTAACAGCTATGAGTCAAGTTTCCTTTTTTGAGGTGAATGACATTTATAAACTTTATTATCGTGGCTTTAAATTTGTACTTAATATTTTTTTTAAAGTCTTTCTACCCCAATCCTATACTATCTGATCATTCTTAACCTTGTCAACTGAGGTTTTTTCCAACTATATTTCTCTTCAGGAGTAACTCTCACAGTTGGTTGGTTGGTTGGTTGATTGGTTAACTGGTTGGTTGGTTGGTTGGTTGGTTGATTGGTTGGTTAACTGGTTGGCTGGTTGGTTGGCTAACTGGTTGGCTGGTTGGTTGGCTGGCTGGTTGGTTGGTTAGTTGATTAACCGATTGGTTGGTTGGTTGGTTGGTTGGTTGGTTGGTTGGTTGGTTAACTGGCTGATTGGGTAGTTAATTGGTTGGCTGGGTGGTTGGCTAGTCAGTTGGCTGGTTGGTTGGTTTGTTGGCTGTTTGCTTGGCTGGTTGGTTGGTTGGTTGGTTGGCTGGCTGGCTAGTTGGTTGGTTGGTTAGATGGTTCGTTAGTTAATTGGTTGGTTGGCTGGTTGGTTGGTTGGCTAGTCAGTTGACTGGTTGGGTGACTGGTTGGCTGTTTGATTGGCTGGTTGGTGGGTCAGTTGGTTGGTGTGGAGCTGGGTGCTCCTCGGGTAGAGCAGTGTGTCTGGCACTTGGGATTGAAGACAATTTAAAATGAGAAGCTCTCCAAGATGCTCCTCCCACCTCAAATGCTGGTTGATCACTGGTGTGCCATGCTGGCCCATGGTCTTGCCAAGCTGGCTCCCTACACTGCTGGGTAAGTCAAACACAGGAGAGAAGAAGCCCACATTTATGGGGAAACACGCAGTGTCAGACCCTGGGCAGGGTTCCGTGCACTTGCCACAGCATTTGGTATGTGTAATAGCTGAAATACGGTTTTACAGATGCAGAACCTGAAAAGCAGAGAGACTGTATGCATTGCCCAAGGTCCCACAGCTGGTGGGTAGCAAGACTGAAATGAAAATTGGAGTCTGTCTGATTCTAACACCGTGCTCTCTTCTCCACACGCATCCCAATAGTCAAGTGCTCATTTTTCCAGCTCCTGCCATTTGAGAGCTTCCAAAAAACCCAGCTTCAAGTTATCATATCATTCTCGTTTCTCCACAATGTCATTATTAAACTTCTGTGTTTTCATGAGTTCTGTTTGACAGGTAACAAGGCCAGGAGGGAACAGCGATGCTCTTTCTCCTCCTTAACCTCAGAGTCCTCAGCTGGCCCTAAACCCCCAACCCTCAGAATCAGTACATGGGGTCCAGGCCTCCCCAACATCTGGCACCCACTCTCCCCTCCATCTCATCTCCCACTACCCCTAAAAACCTCTGCCTTCCTGCCTGTATCCAAGTCACCCGCCACCCAGGACTGTCTCCCCGCTCCTCTCCTGCAGCACTGTAGCCTCTGCTGGTTCCTGAATTCCCTAATTGGACTTGTCTGACCATCTGGGAGACAGGTAGGGTACTGGGCTTTAGGCCGCAGGGTTCTGACGTTGAACACACTGACCTGCACAAAACCATTCTGGCCCATTGTGATGGCAGCCAGCCAAGATACACTGTTATGAATAACTCAGTCACACATTAACTGAGATTTTGTGATTGGAAGAGTATTGGCTTACTATGTTACAATCTGACCTCAGTTTCCATTACTGCCTTAATGAAGTAAGATACTTATTTAAGCTTTTGTCAAAGAGTAAGTCTCTGGGTAGTGGCTATACCTTGCGCCCTTTAAGATACAAAGCCATCTGGAGAATCAAAAATCCCAACTGTTACCAGATGAGCTTTATATGTTAGCGTGGCATAATAAAGAAATATTGGTCTTTATTCATGGTTCCCAGCACAGAGCTCCTAAAACCCTTGAAATTTCCTGACTGATAGAAATGTTTTTGTCAGTCAAAATGAGACTTTTTTTGACCACACCTGAACTTATGCAAATGAGGCTCAGGATGGCCTGAAGATGGGAGTGAACACCAGAAAGACCAAGTGATAAGAAGGTTGGAACCTCCAGCCCCACCCACCAACTCTGGGAAAGAAGAAGGAAGGGGCTGGAGATTAAGCTCTATAAAAACTCTTGAGCAAGATTTGATGAGCTTCTGGGGTGGTAAACGTATCATGAGCCAGGAGGATGGTGCATGCCACCTCCACAAGGACAGAAGCTCCTATGCTTGGGAACCTTCGCGGCCTTTCCCTGTGTACCTCTGCATCTGGCTGTTCGTCCATATTCTTTATAGTATTCTTTACAGTAAACCAGTAAACCTAAGTAAAGTGTTTTCCTTAGTCCTGTGAGTCACTATGGCACATATCAAACCTGAGTAGGGTGTTGTAGGAACCCCCAATTTGTAGCTGAGTCAGATAGAAGCACGGGTACCCTAGGGATCCACAACTTGATGTTGACATCTGAAGTGGGGCAGTCTTGGAAACTGAGCCCTTAACCTGTGGGGTCTGTGCTAACTCTGGGTGGTGTCAGAATGGAGTTGCATCATTGGAAACTCAGTTGGTGTACACAGAAGACTGGAGAAGTACATAGCATGGAAAATCCATGCATTTGGTGTCAGAGAAACAGTTACCCCTTTTAAACCTTCATATTCAAAATTCCTTAAATCCCTTATTCTAAATATCTTCGTGTGTGTGTTGTTCAAATTATATCGATATCTACACTAAAATCAAAAGGGACAAGAATGAGATTAGGTGCATAAGAATTTGGAAAGAGTTAAATTAAACCCCAAATTAAATTGTTTAAAGTTGATTTAAAAAGCAGATGGTGCTTCTTATAGAGCAAGCCTTCTGGGATTTATGAAACAAAACAAAACAAATTCTGTCTAACAGGGACGATATTAACACCCTCCATCGTGGTTTCAGAATTGGACAGAATCATCACTGACATCTATTAAAATAAGAACCACCTACTGGTTCTTATTTTATCTAGGAGCAAAGCAAGCAACTATAGCTTGCACTTTCTAAGAATATGTCCTCCTCACTAAGAAGTGATGCTGTCACACGTGGTACCTCACAGTCCTAGCCTGTTACTGAGCGCTCACTATGGATCAGGCACGGTTGCAGATGCCTCACCATGCTACAGAGGAGAAAGCTGAGGCAAGGTCAGACCTATTGTCACCAGAGTACAAGGACAGGGCCACAGATCTTTCTGGAAATCTGAAGAAAACTATACAATTTCCTTCTTCCTAGGGAAAAAACAAAAAGCCCAGAACACAGAATTTTGCATACACTTTCTGAAGACTCACAGCACGTTCCCTGCCTGTCCCCCTTCCCAGGTTTGGGATATCACTAATGTGTGATCACACCAGGTGACAATGGCACAAGGGGCAGCAGGGAGGCTCTTGGAAATAAAGGAAAAAGAATCCTCCTCAAACATAACATTGGCCTGTAAGGAATTACGGCACAGATAGGAAAAGTCAGTTTAACAAAGCAGGACGACTCCCAGACAGGAAGCCCTGATGGAAGGAAACACTCGAGTTAAAGAAATAACACATCCGTCAGATGCGGGGTTGGTCAGAAATGGGAAATGCAAAGACAGGTTCAGGAAGATGAATGCCGCAGAGCAGCTGAAGCCGTGGGTCCACCAGCTCCGAGGCCTGCATCCACCCAGCAGCCTCCCTTTTGTCTGCTCCCAGAACATGGACATGCTGGCCACAGGGACAGATTTCCCACTACAGATTCATTAGTGAGTTAATTAATTACAAGGCTTTCATGTTTCTGCGTCAATCCTGTGAATATAGTAACACAATCTGTTCGTTGAATGACTAATCTGGAGCACTTTCAGCTTTCTCATACATGTCAGTATTCACAGACAAGTTCAATCATAAAGAAACAAAAACAAACTTCTGCAACACAAAAATCTGCTTAGTGATAACATTTTACCTTCATATCTGGATCCATCTGGATATATAAAAGTGCCTTGACCGTGCTTTTTATTTCTAAAATATTCTCCGATATATCGAGCACCATTTTTAAATTTGTAGGTCCCCTGAAACACATTGATTATATCATTCATGTCATTGCTGAATGTAGCATTTACTAACAGAGCATTAAATAGAGAAAACCATCCAGTCAAGTCAACGGTTCTGACCTGGCCATGTCTTTTACCGAATTCGTAGCTCCCTTCATAGGTGTCCCCATTAGGTAGCCGCGCCTTCCCGCGTCCGTGCCTTTCGCCTGCCTCATTCCGAGCCCCCTCATATTCCTGGGTAATGAAAATTGACACAATTACAGCTACCATTCATTATGCGCTAACCAGATGCTAAGCATTTTATAAATATCATACGCTTGAATCATCCCTCTATACTAAATCCTTGGCACTATACTCAGTTGTCCCACCTTTCCCACCTTACAGCTGAGGTAGGTAACCACGCCTGGGCTAGGTGAGGCACTGGTCCAAAGCCACACCCCAGCACATGTCCAGGGCGGAAGCCTCATTCCCTCCCTCCAGCAAGGAGCTTGCAATCACTGTGATAATCCTTTACCCTGTAAACAAGGTTAACCAATTTGTGAAAAATGCTAGATACTCTAAGCTGTGTTTTTAGGAGGAACATGCTTGAAATAGCACTTGCAGGTAGAATAGTTCCACACAAAAATACCTCCCCATTTGCTTCCTTCAGTAATCCATGATTTCAAAGGCAAATGCCCTGAGAGAAGCAACTCTTCCCTCAAATGATCCCTGGGGTGGGGTGTGGCCTGAAGAGACCTTTGCCCTGCGAGGAATATCTGATGGAAGGGACAGGTAGGAGTGCACTGAGGAGTACACAGGGCTCTCTTGTCGATTAAGTTATCTTATTTTTAAAATCCCTAGCGAGAGACTTAAGGTTCAAACACTCATGACCCAATGCTGCAATAATTACATATCTATCTATGGTTTGTTTTTGTTTTTGTTTTTGTTTTTGTTGAGACAGGGCCTCACTCTGTTGCCAAGGTTGGAGTTGGCACAATCTCAGCTCACTGAAACCTCTGCCTCCCAGGCTCAAGTGATCCTCCCACCTCAGCCTCCTGATAGCTGGGACTACAGGCATGCACCACCATTCCCAGCTAATTTTTAATTTTTTTTTGTAGAGACAAGGTCTCACTATATTGCCCTGGCTGGTCTCAAACTCCTGGACTCAAGCGATCCTCCCACTTTGGCCTTCCAAAGTTCTGGAATTACAGGTATGAGCCACCATGCCAGCTCAATTATGTGTCTATCTTAAAAGTAAATCAATAAAAAATGTAACCAAAGCTTGCAATTTTCCTATCCTTCAGAAAATAAATTCCTTACTACCTAATACATGGGTATAGAGTGAATGTAGTAAATAATAACATGCTGAAAGCATCCAGTAATGATTTAACACAGGTATCTCATATCACACTATATTTCTTAAATATACATAATAAAATTTATTAAAAATTAAAATTAAAAATGGAATTGGATGTATATAATCTTATTATAACACAAGTACTGACACACTACAATGAGGACTTTAGAAATAAATGTCTGTTCAATTCTTTCCCTTTTCTAGCACTGTTTGGCCCACTAATTCCTGCCTAGAATATAAGATAAAAATCGGTGACCTTACAGATTTGTTTCAGGGTTAGTTTACATCAAAATGTATAAAAGTCCCCTCCTTCCATCCAAGAGGCTTCCCAATACATCCAACACTGAGCCGCTGGGGTGGCTGAACGAGAGAGAAATCCTTTAAAATGACCCCAAATGTGATCTGAACCTAAAAATTATAGGCAGTAAAAAGTTACAAATTCAGTGGGGTCATTTGAGGAGATAAACTAGAAAGCTTGTTTGTCTGTGCAAATGTTACAGGTTGGGCTCACCTACAGGCAGACCCTGAACAAGCGATTTTTTTTTTTTTTTTTGAGATGGAGTCTCGCTCTGTCACCGAGGCTGGAGTGCAGTGGCGTGATCTCGGCTCACTGCAACCTCTGCCTCCCGGGTTCAAGCCATTCCCCTGCCTCAGCCTCCCAAGTAGCTGGGATTACAGGTGCCTGCCACCACGTCCAGCTAATTTTTTGTATTTTAGTAGACACAGGGTTTCACCGTGTTGCCCAGGCTGGTTTCGAACTCCTGAGCTCAGGCAATCCGCCCACCTCGACCTCCCAGAGTGCTAGGATTACAGGCGTGAGCCACTGCGCCTGGCCTGATTTTTTTCAGCGCTCTCCTGGGAGAAAGTAGTAAAGAGGGCAGGGAAGAAGACATGAAAGGGCAGGCAGCTAAGGAAGGATGCCATTGCAGGTGAAGTCCCAGACTTGGCCTAATCCAGCAGGCACTCTAGGGGCATCAATTGCACTGCAGACTTTGTCCTGCTTCTTGCACTAGCTACTGGCTGTCTGGCTGGATGTGAATTTCAGGCACTTCTGGCTCTCCATACTGGGCAGGTAGTTCCAGTGCACAGAAGTGGTAGCTGAGCAGCAAATCAGGCAGAAGCTGGGAGATGAGTGCCCAGAGCTAGCAAAAAGGTCTGGGCAGGCACTGACAGCACCACTGCAGAGTGGCTAGATTTTTCAGTTAATTCTGAAAGTACCTCAACTCTGTACTGTGCATGCAGACCATAGCGGCTGAGGTTCCCTACCTGTCAGCCATGGAGAGGTCACCCTATGGAGTAGGGAGGAACTACTTTCTGGGTGGTAGAAATATTCCCACACAGAACCCAGCTCACAGGCTGGGTGTGCAGCTCTTTCTCCTCTCTGCTGCCTAAGCCAGGAAATAACTCCAAAGACCTGGGTCAGTTCAGAAGGGACTGAAGAAAGCACATGTAAGGATACACCTATAAGGTAATACCTTCAGGAACCCTCTTCTGAGCCCAGGGCCTCCTCAGCATTTCTTGGAGTCTGCCAGGAAGCAACTTTCCTCCATGCATCCAAATGCCGAGGGAGCTAATCTCAGCTACAGAAATGACTTGTTCAAGGGCAGTATGGCAGCGTGGGATGATCTGCTCATCTAAGAAAACTGCCTCGATGGGAATTAACACAGGGAGGAGGAAACTTCCAAAGCCTTCTGCTGGGAAATCTTTGCCTTTAATGGGAGGCAGGATGGGGGTGGCGGAAGAACGAGGCGGGATGTGGTAACCAGATGTCATTTCACCTTTCACCACCAGCTTCCAGGATGCACGTAGGTGTGTCTGGCGTGGTCCTCGTCCCTGCCGGGGCCTCCTGGGGAGCTGTGGCTCCGACCTCTGGCTTCTGCCCCTCCTCACTCTCCAAACCCAACCTCGAGGTTCCCCCACCGCTGCGCACCCCGGGAAGCCCCTTCTCATCAGAAGCTCTCACCCCAATATCATTCTCTCCCTCCTCCTCCAACTCCTCCGAGCCCAGGTCCGACATGGTCTCGCCCCAGCCTGGATCCCAGCCGCAACGCCTCTAGCAGGTGGGTAGCAACCGCCTCCACCGCTGCGTCCTGCGTCGCCATGGAGACGCGGCCGGCCCCGCCTCCCTCCCGGCCGGGAAGATGGGGAGCTGGGACTGGCAAGGCGGACGGTGCGGGAGGAGCCACTGGCAGCCTTTGCGTACTGTCATAGCAACGGGAAGGGCCCCTCGACCAATCACCGCCCGGGAATAGAGAGGGGCGGGGCGGAAGGGACGAGGTGGAGCCAGTGGCAGCACTGGGGTGCCGTCATAGCAACGAGGGGCCGCCTTGGCCAATCACTGCTCGGGAAGGGAGGGGGGCGGGGACTGGGCAGGGCCTGGGCGGGTTCCGTGCCTGGCTGCCCACCGGGTCTCTGACCTGGACCTCGCTGTCGCTGGCCCCTGAAATCCATCACTTTAGTCGGCTGTTCTGTGACGCGCAACAAGGAGCCACCTGGGTACTGGGCCTTCAAGAGGAGGGACGCGGGAAGCGCGTCCGGGCCAACTCTCGAGTGGGTTTCACCCCTGCCCAGTGCGGGCACTGCACGCTCCCTTCCGCCCCCGGGCCTCGCAGGCCCCCCGGGGGTGCTGCCCATCCCCACTTACTTTCTAGGCTCTTCGGACCCTTCGGGGTTCGCGGATCGCAGAGATGTGTCCGCCAAGATCTCTTCTTTGGTCCGTAAACAACTTCACTCTCAAGGAGACAGCTCTGGCCTCTCAGCAGGTGCGGCCTACACTGATGTCCGTCCTGGTTTGACATCATTCCCCGACCCCGACAGGAGTACCAGCCCCCTCGGGCCTCTGACTCTCAGGAGTCCCGTAAGGATCTCCGCTCCTCTCCGCTCGCTCCTGGCTCCCCTCCACTCACACACACCCACAAAAATCACAGGCGCACACGCACGTACACGTGCAGGCTTGGCACTCTGCTTCACCTGACGCACTCCGCCTGCCCAAGGCCCCTCACGATCTCCCATTTCCTCTGCCATCATCCCAGACAAAAAGCTGTGTTATTTGTTGTTGCTGCAGGAGCTGGGGAGGAGTGACTGAATAACCACAGGATTTAGTCTTGATGGCAGAATCCCAGAAGCCAAATCCACGTGGTGAATAAGCTGCTGATCTTTCAGAGCACACATCCCCTGGAGAATCTTCCCAATGCTAATATGAAAGTTTACAACCATAACCCATCATCAGGCCCAAATATATTACTTACTGAATAAATACACAAGTTACAAGCAACACACAAGAATCCAAAATTATGTCGATTTTTAGTTGCAAAGATAAAAATGTTGTAAACACCAAAATTTAACAGCTTTTCTTATGGGGAAAAGTGGGGAGTTGGGGATAACAAATGATTATTATTTTCTTTTCTACATATTGGCAATTTCCCAGTTACTACAATTGAGCATGTCTTATTTTTATAATAAAATGCCAAAAGTATTTTAAATGTTAAAAATGTAGAATGGTAACATAATCAAGTATATGCAAATAAACAGTCATTTTTTACATTTAAAATGTCAGAAATTCAACTTTCAAATTTGTCCTAACAATGACAGTAACCAATGTTTACTAAGTTCTGACACTGCATGTGGGTGCTGTTTTAAGAATTTTATGAGTTATCTTATTAAATCCTCACTATCATTTCTCCATTGTACATCTAAGGAAAGGGAGTTATAGAGGGGTATAAACTAAAAATAACCTCCTAAGCCCCACTACAGCCAACTGAATGGACCCCCTCTTGACCAAGGGGACTCCAGAAACCTTAAAAACTGAGTTATCAGCCATGATGGGAAGGGAGGTCAGAAATGCCTCACTAATACCCTTTTGCCATTTAGACACAACAACTAACCAGCATTAATGTTAAACTAGAGATCATAAGACTGACAGAATGGACTCTGTGGCAGTAAGATACCAACTTATAAACAGGACCTAAGGCCATGCCAGGCATGAGTGAAGTCATGCACGCCTATACTTAAAAGAATAAACTATATTTTAACTACTTGGAAAAGGTCTTATGATTCATGTTTCACATTTTGTACTTGAGTAAAAAATCTTACTGTGAATCTCTCAAATCTTATCATGAGTTCCTCAGACTGTTGATGTACTAATTAATACGTAACGACTGACACTGAAAAGGATACTGATTTGTTTCTAAATCATGACATTTCACTGATTGTCTTGTGCATACGCAGAAAACATTTTAGCCTGTGTGTTGTCATCCGTAGCCATTGATTGTAACCTCTATATCATCCCTCCAATGAAAAAAGACAACTCCAATATGAGGAGTCCCCTTCCCATTCCTCAACTTTCTTATAAAACCATTGCAACTTGTAACAGACTTTGGAACACACCCAACTTTGTTGCTGTGCCTTCCCCATTCAATCTTCAAATTTGACTTTCAATAAGCCTTTATCAATTTCTGCCTCAACAGCCTTAACTTTGGCCCACAGCAGTTAAGATCATTGCCCAAGATCATACAGCCAGTGGGATTCAAATCGAGCCATCAGACCCAAGAGCAACTGTTGCTCATCACTATACTGCCTCCCAGATCTGTGATAAAGAAATAACTAGTTTTCTGGCAGTGACTGTAAAGCATCTACCAAGCAGAGGACCACTGGTTCAAATGCCTTGGATTGCAAACACCAGGGAGTGGCTTAAGCAAACTACATGGTTAAGCAAACCCTGCTCTGGATCACATCCTTAGCAACTAGACATCTAGCTACAGCTATTAAATCCTAAGGTTTACAATTTGATCTCTATCCCATACAAATTTGCCAGGGTCTTCCCTCACGAATCTTTCAATCTATAGTAATTTCACTACACTGTGGGTTTAGCAATTATCCAAATAATTGACAAAGGCAAGAAGGGGTGAACAACAGGATGGGCCTCCCAGCACCTCCTGCAGCAGCACCTGGACTGGATTCTAAATTCCTCTTTCCAGAAAGAAGCTGCACCCTAGCCCAGATTCAGCTGAAAGCCACAGCTGCCAAGAGGCAGTCGGAGCGCTGGGCGCCTCTCTGCACACCCAGGAAACCCAAGGAGGACTTCATCAAGCCAAGCGGATGCCTCACTCAGAGCCCCATGATCCCTGACCCCTGACCCCACAGTGACCTGGAAATGCCGGGTAATGCCAGAAGCAGCGCTTTCCAATTCTGAAGGCCCTCAAAATGCTTGCTCAGCCCATCTTCCTCCTTTCCTGGGGCGTGGGAGTGGTGGGAAGATGAGAGGCAGAAAGACGAGGACATCATCAGAAGGTTTTTCCTTACTGGAAAATGAGAGGAAATCCTCTTCCACCGCTTAAAAATCAAAAGGGGCTGCCCATCTTCCTCTGGCAGGGGTCTCCCATCATCCCCCGCGAGGCCTTCCCATTATCCCCTGCGGGGCTTTCCCATCATCCACAGAGGCCCTTCCCATAATCCCCAAGCGGGAAGTTCGTGCAAGTGCCGCTCTGCAGGGAGGAGCGAGGGCCGAGGGGAACGCCCTCAGGAGAGTGGAGGGCAACAGTGGCCGCGGTTCCTCTGCACTTCGTTTCTTCAGTAAGAAATGATCTTCTTGTCGTTCTTACGTAGAAATGGAGCGATCCATTTCCTTTTACCCATTAACCCCTTCAAAAAGATGAAAAACAGTCCCAGGCCGGCCATGGTTGATCTCTGCAGAGGGGCTGGTCAGGGTGCCTTCTGCTTCCTGGTGGGATGGCCAAGGCCAGGGAAACTGTGGAAACCACCCTGGGGCTGCCTTCTGTATTTTCCACAACCTTCCAGGCCCACCTCCCAGCTGGAGGCCCTGCAGCTTGGCAGTTGCCATGGCGACTGAGTCCCTAAGAGTGTCTCTTCTGAGCTCTCCTGGACAGTGTGGAGAAAAGGCCTTAAGAACTGAGGGGCTTCGGTAAAATGCAAACAGATTTTTTTTGAAGTTTTGTAGGCACTGTTCAGATAAAAAGCAGGGACTTTCAACAAAATGAGTTCAGGCCTATTTTAACTATAGAACTATGAGGTTGTTTATTAGAATAATTGTACTCTGGTAAATTTACCAATTTCATATATATGCATATTAATAAACAAATATATTAGCGTATATAGATAGAAAAAGTTCTATCTACATGTACAATTGAAAACTTTTTAAAACAGTGTTAGTAGTATCACATATTAGCATTTAGAGGATAGAGACAGACCCGGGATTGGAGCCCTAGCTCCATATACTTCTTTCTGAAGTCAGTCTACTCATCTGTAAAATGGGCTGTTGTGAGGTCAAAATTAGATATTCATAATGAGAGTAGCACAGTGCCTAGCACACAGTAAAGCACTTAGTAAATGGGAGCTATTACTATTAATTGTACTGTTGTTAATCTTATAATAGGTTAAGCACCTTTTGGCTATCAGTATGTTTGGGGGAGAATTTTAACTCATTTGTCTTAATCGTTTTCAGTAGAGGTTTTTTCTTGAAAAGAATCAAACTGCCAAAGATGATTCAGTCAGATAGTTGTTTGTGACAATCAGAAGTTAGTCTGTGATGAACAGATTAGTTTTAATGCTCATGTTCATTAGCACTAATATACATAAGGGTGGGGAGAGACTGAAGCTTCTGGATATATATAGACAGGTAGATTCTTAAGTGTAAGTAGGTATTTGAACTGTTTGTGGATTATGTCTCATAAAGCTGGCACCCAGCAAGGAGGAAAATGCCAGATACACACATGCCCATACCTGAGGTATGTAGGTCAGTGGAAGGCTATTGAAACACAGCTGTCAAGAGAGAAATGTAAATTATTTTTCACCCAGGAAGTGAGATTATTCCGTAATGTATCATAACCAGTAGGGGAAATAGTTTAGTGGACACCTGTGTGGAGACAAGAGATGTCAGAAAATTGGATAGACTAAAATTTCACGTTGGGTAGCAACTCAAGGACATAGCTCAGTGCTTGGCACATAGTAAGTGCTCAACCAACACAGGTTTATCAAATTGAGTGTTAGATATTATCTTGCAACAGAGCTGTGCTTTATGCAGCATTAGGAAAAGAGAAAAAAGTGATGTGAATTTTTTTTTTCTTTTTCTTGTTTTTTTAATTCTTCTTAACACACTCCATTTTCCTAGGGCTTGCTCAGGATATCAGTTGCTTAACTACATCTAAGTGTCTTCTAGGTAGAGTACTAGGGGATTACAAAGAAATGAGAAATTACAGACCCATTTGGGGGCAAATTCTACATAAATCTACACTGTTTAAAAAAAATTACCAGGGCTGGGTGTGGGGGCTCACGCCTGTAATCCTAGCACTTTGGGAGGCCAAGGTGGGTGGATTGCCTGAGCTCAGGAGTTCAAGACCAGCTTGCCCAACGTGGTGAAACCCTGTCTCTACTAAAAATACAAAAAATTAGCTGGGCGTGGTAGCAGGCGCCTGTAATCCCAGCTACTCTGGAGGTTGAGGCAGGAGAATCGCTTGAACCTGGGAGGCAGACGTTGCAGTGAGCCGAGATCGCACCATTGCACTCCAGCCTGGGCAACAAGAGCGAAACTCTATTTCAAAAAAACAAAACAAAACAAAACCCAAAACTATTATGCCTTCTGGCTACATGTTAATCCTTCATTCCAAAGTGGAGGTCACACTTTCCTACTGGTGGATATGCAAGGTTGGTTCTAGTTTTGATATTGCAGATAGCCTCACTCTAACCAGCAGTTGTGGTGGGAGATCCTGTGCTACATGGGGCTGTAGTTTTCAAGATCTAAGGGTGGATCAGATTTTCTAGAAAAGGGACAGGGAAAGAGGTGGCATGCTGAACCACATGCTTATGATTTTCCCAGAATAAGGCTCCCCCTGCCCAACTTTTAGAAAGGTCATAATCAAATAAGATAATGAGGATGAAATGATTTGGAAGTGCTATAGAAATGTAACATGTATATTTAGCTCAGATTTTAAAATCTTTTAATTATTTAATATTTGATGCATACAAAAGAACACATATTCACATATGCCAGCAAAATAATACAGTGAACACCTGTGAACCCCCTGCCCAAAGTAAATAGATGAATGAGTGAATGAAATCAATATGAACATCTGAATGCATAGATCTTTGTCTACATCTCAAATTCAGCTCTTTGGATTGCAGCTTTATAGAATCAAGAAATTGCTGAGCCTAAACACATGTTGCTACATTGCCTCCAAGAATGGCCAGACCTATCCTCATTCTCACCAGAACAGAGTGTGTGACTCACTGCTCCCTCGCCTACTGTAAGTCATTTTTCTTCT